TTTTAGGTTTCTCGATTAATCGATTTTTTAATAATTTTTCAAATTTTAGATGTTCCGATTTTTTGATTTTCCCATATCTCGATTTCCTCACTTCTCAGTGTTTACGTTTTTCAACTTTTCGATTTCTCGATCTTTCAATTTTTGGATTCTTCAATTTATCTTGGATTTTTCGATTTATCATTTTTTTAATTTTTCAGTTTTGGAATTTTTCGACAATTCGATTCTTACATTTTTCGATTTTTTGTTTGGATTTCTAGATCTTTCAATTTTTCGATTTTTGGATGTTGGGATTACTCGATCTTCAATTTTTTGACTCCTTAATTTTCGAATTTTTAAATTTTTGGGTTTTTCGATTTCCCAATTTTTTTGATTTTGTTGTTTTTCTATTGAACTTGAAAATTAAAGAAATCGTAAAATCGAGGAACTCAAAAATCGAATATTGAAAATTGAAAATTTGAATAAACGAAAAATTAAAAACGAAAGAAACAATGAAAAAGTGGAGAAAATAAAAAAACGAAAAATTGTGACATAAATTCGAGAAAATACGAGAAATTTAAAAACTCGAAAATATTGAAAAGTACAAAAATCGAAGAACTAAAAAATCGAGAAACCGAAAAGGTAAAATCTTGAGAAATCGAAACATGAAAAAATCGAAAAACAAAAGATTGATTAAAGAATCGAAAAACTAAATCAAAAACTTGAGATAAAAACTGAAAAATCAAAAAGTCAGAAAAACTGTATTTGTAAATTTTTAACACCAATAAAGTATTGATTGATTAGTTGAACCGATAAATTAAAAAATTTAAAAAAGGAAAAATTGAAAAATCGAAAAATTGAAGAGCTGAAAAACTGAAAAAACGAGAAATCGAGAAGATGAAAAAACGAAACGTCGGAAAGTCGAGAAATCGAAAAATGGATAAATACAAAAATTAAAGAATCCAAATACTCATTGAAAAATCTCAAAACTGAAACACGGAACAATTAAGAAATCGAAAAATCTACAAATTGAAAAGTCGAAAAATCGAAGATAACAGAAGAATCAAAAAGTGGAAAATCTTTCATAATTTCTTCAATTTCTCGACTTATTAAATTTCCGATTTCTCGATTTTTGATTTTCCGCTATTTGGGTTTTACGAGTTTTATAATTTTCAGTTCTTAAAATTTTAGTTTTTTAGACTTATCAAAATTTCGAAATTTCCATTTTACGGTTTTTTAAGATTTTGATTCTTAAATTTTTAGATTTTTCGGTTCGAATTTTCGATTTTTTACATTTTCGATTGTTTCAATTTTCCGATTTTCCATTTTTACTTCCCGAGCGTAAGCAAAGGAAGTATTGTAATCGAGTCGGTCGGCCGACTCTCTACTTTTACGTTTTCTCGATCTTTCATGACTCCTAGAAGACGAAGAAATAGGTCTCCCATTTCCGTCTGTCTGTCCGTCCGTCTGTCCGTCCGTCTGTCCGTCCGTCTGTCCGTCCGTCTGTCCGTCCGTCTGTCCGTCCGTCTGTCCGTCTGTTGTCCCGGATTTTATTAGACAGATAATCTCCGAAAGTACTCGACCGATTGTTGTGAAATTTTGTACTTATATTAAGAATATCATGTAGATGGTAAAACGCTAACCAAAATTTGTCTAATCATCCCCACCACTAATGCGATGACGTCACTTCAAAATTGTACATAGTAAATGGGTTTTCAATTGTATAAAATAACATAGTCCTACACATGTAGTTTACAACTCTGAATCGACTTTTCACCCGAAACGTCCAGATTTTTGGAAAAAAAATCAAAATTATAAAACAACATTTTGAAATTTAATTTTTAATCTGCTAACCAGAATGCTTTGAAATGTTGCAGATGTTTTAAGGCTATAAAGAGCATCATAAATCTTTAGTCAAAAAATATTTGCTTATCCCCTCCAAAAACTTGATGACGTCAGCTCAAAATTTGTGGAATAAATCATATCTAAAATGTACAAAATATGATGAGTCTGTACTTGTGATCTATCACTCCATTCATATTTTTTGGATTTGCATATACAGGGTGACTCAAAAAAATTAATGAATGCGTAAATATATTTTATTGATTTAATCAGGAACTACAAAACCGAATGCTCTGAAATCTTGCAGATGTTTTAAGGTCATAAAGAGCATAATAAATGTTTAGTCAAAATATATTTGCTTATCCCCTCCAAAAACTTGATGACGTCAGCTCGAAAGTTTGCCGAATAAATCATATCTAAAATGTACAAAATATGATGAGCCTGTACTTGTCATTTATCACTCTATTCATATTTTTTGGATTTGCATATACAGAGTGACTCAAAAAAATTAATGAATGCGTAAATATATTTTATTGATTTAATCAGGAACTACAAAACGGAATGCTCTGACATCTTGCAGATGTTTTAAGGTTATAAAGAGCATAATAAATGTTTAGTCAAAATATATTTGCTTATCCCCTCCAAAAACTTGATGACGTCAACTCAAAAGTTTGCCGAATAAATCGTATCTAAAATGTACAAAATATGATGAGTCTGTACTTGTGATCTATCACTCCATTCATATTTTTTGGATCTGAATGTACAGGGTGACTCAAAAAAATTAATGAATGCGTAAATTTATTTTATTGATTTACTCAGGAACTACAAAACCGAATTCTTTGAAATCCACTGCGAAAAAAAAACATAATAGGCATACAGTCGTCACGTTTTCGACAGCGAGGGAAGTACTGTCTAAACTCTTTAGACCAATTTTTTTAATTGTCAATTTTGCGTTTCCATTTCTCAATTTTACAATATTCCTGTTTTACGATTTTTCAACTATATATTATTCGATTTTTCAATTTTTGGGCTACTTACTGTTTTGACTTCCCGAGTTTTAAATTTCTGGATTTTTTGATTTTCCCATTTCTGCGTTTCCCGATTTTTCGATGTTTTCATTTTTCGAGGTTTCGATTTCTCGATCTTGCAATTTTTGGATTCTTCAAGTTTTCTTCGATTTTCCGATTTATCAATTTTTTGATGTTGAGATTTCTTCAATTCTTCGACATTTTAATTATGATTTTTTAAATTTTTGTGGTTTTCGATATCCCATTTTTTTTATTTGCTGGTTTTTCGATATGTGGATCTTTCAGAAAAAATCAAAATTTTGTAACATTTTCTTTGATTTTTCAGTTTTTTGATTTATCTATTTATCAATTTTTCGATATTACAATATTGAGATTTTTTCTCACTTGCATTCTTAAATTTTTCGATTTTTCGATTTTTGATTTTTTCGGTTTTTCGATTTTCCAATTTTTCGACTTTTTAGGTTTCGATGTTTCCATTTTTTAATTGTCGACCTTTGAGTTTTAATTTCTCAATTTTCAATATTGTTGTTTTACGATTGCTCAATTTTCAATATTGTTATTTTACGATTGTTCAATTTTTGGCGTTTTTAAATTTTCAGTTTCTCGATTAATCGATTTTTTAATTTTTTGACTTTTCAACTTTTAGATGTTTCGATTTTTTTATTTTCCCATAACTCGACTTCCCCACTTCTCAATGTTTACGTTTTTCAACTTTTCGATTTCTCGATCTTCCGGTGTTTCTTGAATTTTTCGATTCATTTTATTTTCAATTTATCAATTTTTTAATTTTGGAATTTTTCGACAATTCGATTCTTAATTTTTTCGATTTTCAGTTTCGATTTCTAGATTTTTCAATTTTTCGATTTTTGGATGTTGCGATTTCTCGATTCTTCAATTTTTTGACTTCTTAATTTTCGAATTTTTAAATTTTTGGGTTTTTCGAATTTGAAAATCTGAATAAACGAAAAATTAAAAACGAAAGAAACAATGAAAAAGTGGAGAAAATGAAAATACGAAAAATTGTGACATAAATTCGAGAAAATGCGAGAAATTTAAAAACTCGAAAATATTGAAAAGTACAAAAGAACTGAAAAATCGAGAAACCGAAAAGGTGAAAACTTGAGAAATCGAAACGTCGAAAAATCTAAAACTGGAACAATAAAAAAAATTAAGAATCGAAATATTGAAAAATTCCAAAACTGAAATCGAAGCAACGAAAAATGGATGAGTTTATACCGAGAGAGAACAATGACAACCACGATCAATGCGATTTATCCAGTGAAATTTTGAAATGACGTCATCAAGTTTTTAGAGGGGATGATTGTTTCCAAAAATGCAGCGACCTAAAGTACAAAGCACAAACGCATTTTTATTTGGCGACAAAAAGCTAACCCGATGTGTAAACATTATCTAGTAGTGACACAAACTTGTTTTAGGTGTTATGTTTACTGCTTAGAAGGTTACAATAACCCCAGTGGTCGCGCCATCACAAGTATAAATAATCAAGAATGGACTGATGAAATGCAGCACACCTTTGTTTTATAACGTTTTCACAATCTACGATAAAATTGCTATCGTTGTACTCATAGCTCTTTCAAACGTGAGAAGAATGGAATTCGCTCGCTGTTCACTTCACAACTATTTCGAATTAATTTTGATTCGCATTAAATCACGAGTTGAAAGATTACAACTCACATTTAGGATTACACAAAAAAAACTGAGTTGTTAAGGAATAGGCTGAAAGAAGGAGTTGGCGATAACATACATATGTACACTGGGCACTGAGAAGATTCTCAGGTAGGGAATCTGTTAAAGAAGTCAGGGTGTAGGTGAAGTGATAATGATAACTGATAACTGTAAGAACCACATTTGACTGTGTTATCTGATTATATGACAACCAGATAAATAAATAACGAATATTTTATTTGCAAATTTAAATAACGCAAACAGGTGAATTTTATACTTTTTATCGTAAAATAAACAAACCAAGTTAAAAAAAACAAGTGACCGCCAAATTTTCCATACACATAACTTCTTCATCACCGAAAAATTTACACATTATCGGCCGCCAAAACCCCCAATCCACCCCTGCTCCCCAAGTGTCACAAGAGCACTTTTAGGTTATGTAAGAGCAAACCTCTCACACTGGCTTACCTCATTTACTTCTTCTTGCAATTCCAAGTAAATTCCGGGAGACGTTCACACACACTCCTCGACACACGACAAACAAATACACAAAAAAAAACTTGACCGGTTGTTTTATAACGTCTAGTCTTCCACATGCAAGTTTTGATTACTCAGGTGGAACGAACCAAAGAAGTAAGTTTTGGTATCGCGAAGCGCACTTTTCCCGCACGAATTCAGAACCGTAACGAATAATTGACCACAGAAGCGATTTTCGGCTTTTTCGCCGCTTTTTTGGACCCACACACAAACCAAAAAAAGTGGAATTTACGAGTTTGTATCAAGCGGGCGTTGGCTCACTAGTGACAATCGGAAAGTCCCTAAAAAGTGTGTGAATTTGAAGGAATTGGGAAAAAATAGGGAAGTGCGCGGTACGGGTTCCCATGGTTTGCATATTTTACTTGAATGGGTCAATGGGTTATTACGTAATGGTAGCAGGATCATGGTACAAGTGCAGACGTATAAAGTTTCCACGGATGCATTTTTTACATGTTTATAATAACAGGTGGGGTTTTCCTCGTTCAATGAAATTCACCTAATTTAAGAAAATTTCCCAGAATTGTTTTAAATAATCAATTATGATAATGACAGTCCGAGTTCAAACTTGAAACTTGGTGACTTTTCCTCCGTGACGTTGTTCACTTACGTTGGCAAACCTAACTCCCCAGCTCTCTCTCTTTCTATTGTTTGACAGACGCGCAAGTGTGTACGATGGCTGTTGTAAGTGTTCAAAATTCTCAAAGAAATCAAAAAATAAACATGAATCGCTCACAATATTGGTGAAAACCTTCGTAAACCACACTCACGCACTCATAGGTGTAGTTTTTTAGTGAAAATGTGGCACGATGGCTTCGATAAAAGTCGCCACAACATAACCTCCCTCGTCCAGAAATGCTCATAATTCGGTAAAATTTCGACCGTCGGTGGAAACAACGACGTGTTCTCGCCAATTTGTGAAGTTTCATGTTTCTTTGAAGCCCCAGTTTTGTGTAGTGGCCCCATAACCTCACTTTCACAAAGTCTGGCTGAAACACAACTAATCATGTTGTGGATTCCAGACGAAAGCGGTAGCCCCCGCCGGTGCCAAAGCGCAACCTAAGAAGCAACAAATCCGCGGAAAGGGGATCAAGAAGAAGAAGGTGGCGTTGAGGTTCATTGTAGACTGTACGCATCCAGTGGAAGACAACATTTTGGACGTCACCAACTTCGTAAGTAACGTCGTAACGTAAAATTTCCCGTTTGATTGAAGTCGTTTCGTAGGAGAACTACCTGAAGTCTAGAATTAAGATCAACGGAAAGACAGGAAACTTCGCCGGTGGTAAAGGTAGCCAGCATGCCGTAACGCTGGGGAAGGAAAAGGGAACTAAAGTCGTCCTCAACTCAGAAATTCCTTTCTCCAAGAGGTACCTCAAATACCTCACTAAGAAATATTTGAAGAAAAATAACTTGCGTGATTGGTTGAGGGTTGTAGCTGCTGGTAAAGACAGTTATGAGCTCAGATACTTCCAGATCAACAGTCAAGAAGACGACGATGAGGAAGACAATGAATGATTTTAACGCAGTTTGAATAAATGATAAATTGGTTTGTATTTGACTTTTTTAAATCCTAATTACAAAAAATGACAAGACGTGTGAAACAAAATTAAGACAAATGCACTGTACTCCTTATGGTTTACAAATATTTTTACACTTATTTCTTATGAACAAAGTCTTCACCTTTTTGTATATTTTTCTTCAATTCTGGGATTGCCTTCTTCAACAAATCTTGCTCAAAATCGTTCAATTTCCCCAAACCTAAGTTCTTCTCTAAACCGTTCTTACCCAATAAGAGAGGTGTTGAGAAGTACTTGGACTCTGTAACATCTGACTCCACATACGCACACTCCACAATATTCTGTTCTCCTTTTAACGCTCTTATTAATGAAATGGCAAACCGTGCTCCTGCGTAAGCCATGGACAGTGTGGCTGAACCAGCTCCAGCCTTAGCTTTCACTACTTCAGTTCCAGCCTCCTGGATCCTTTCAGTCAACGCTTTGAGCTGATCTGGAGGAAAACTGACCGCAGGGGTTGTTTGAGAAATCAGAGGAATAATCGTAACCCCTGAGTGACCCCCAATAACTGGTACTTTCACTTCCAACGGGTTTAAGCCTTTGAGTTCCGCCACAAAAGTGTTAGCTCTGACTATGTCCAGCGTGGACACTCCAAATAGCCGTTTAGGGTCATAAGTCCCTGCTTTTTTCAATACTTCAGCTGCTATAGGTACGGTTGAATTAACTGGATTGGAGATAATTCCAATTAGAGCCTTGGGGGCGCTTTGAGCGGCTGCTTCAGCCAAATCTCGCACGATGGACGCGTTCGTGTTAAACAAGTCATCTCGGGTCATTCCAGGCTTGCGTGGGACTCCAGCGGGGATTATAATTACCTCGGCGCCAGCGAACGCTTGTTTGAGGTTTTCAGGCCCATTGAAACCGGTGACTTTGGCGGGGGTTTCAATATGCGACAAATCGGCGGCTACTCCGGGGGTGTGAACGATGTCGTAGAGTGAGAGTTCGGTGACAAGGGGGCTCTGTTTGAGAAGTAAGGAGAGAGGTTGACCAATGCCGCCAGAGGCTCCAGCTACGGCTACTTTGACATTGTTCTGGAAGAGTCGTTACATAAACCTTCCGGGCTATTAATAGAACAGGATTTTTAATCTGATAACGATTATACTGGAAATGTGGAGTTGGTAAGTGTTACGTGGCGGGATTAAGTCAAGGCTTGGATTTGAATGAGAGTGGAAATGGAAAAGGGGTTTTTGGGGATTTTTACCTGTTTGCTGGTGCTGAAATTTCTTGCCGAGACAAGTGTGGGTCTTACTACTCTGGAGAACATTTTGGAGTTGTATGAATAGTGCCGGTTTAATTTACTATCTTTGTGAAACCTTTTGACCTCTGCAACCTTACGGAGTCGTAAATGTCACCACAATCTGAAAATGACATGTGACGTTAAGCAGAGCTGACGTCTGTGGCAGCGGTGGTTAAAGTGACACCAAAATGCAAAAATAAAAATATCTATTCTCTTGTAATAATTATAATATGTATTAAATAACTGTAGTAAAACAAGCAATGACTGTTAATCTGGTTGTTTAACTTACTTTTGGGTTAATGAAGCAATAAATTCAGAGTTTTGGATGCATGGAAGCGTGGTTGTAATTGTAGCCACAGCGTTTACATAACCTAAAATTTAAAAATAAACAGTTTTTTATTGTAGTGTGACATTTAAATTGAAAAAATGTCTTCAGACAGTTCCGACGATGAGGATTTAATGAAACTGCGAGAAGCAACTGATTCTCAATTTATTAATGATTCCATGTTTAATCAGAAACCTGGTAATTACTTATATTGATTAATTTAGTGTAAATTTTATGTTCTTTCATCTAGGGAAAGTCAACGTAAAGGAACAAATCGAAAGGCCGCAGTCGCTCCGATATAGTAAAGATGAAGACGAACAATTCAACCTGTTCCGTGTGTCCCCAGAGTTTAGAAACTATGTGGCAAAACATCTCTCTTCCATTTTGGATAAGGTTCTAGAAAAACAGTTAACTAGCGACAATTCTGTCTGTGATGGTTCTATAAAACCAAAACGACGAAAAAGTGGTGTTAAGCTCTTCCGGAATTCGCCCCACTACATTAAAGTGAAAACAAAGGATGTTGGTAGTGATGGCACACTTGTTAGAAGGACTATAGTTGCTAAAAGTGATGCAGATCCTGTTAGTGATGAACAATTAAGGTTAATTGCGGTAAATTCAGACGATATTTTGAGCCAGAAAGACGTGAAGTGTTGGTCTACACGTACTAAAGCACCTGTGTATAATTATGTTAAAACTAAAAATGGTTTAATGCTGAAGTAAACTTTGAAATCTTTTAGAATGTGTTTTATTTTTAAATTCATAGGTTGTCAAAAATTCTGTTTCAAAATTCTGTCAATCCTTTTCTCCTTCCTTCAATTTTGTTACATTATTTTTTGCATTTTTATCATAATATTGTGGTGACCGAATTTAAATCAAAGTTTTCGCGCTGAAATTAATTAACAGCGGCGCGAAATCACACTTGAATAATTTGAATTTGAAAGAAAAAAAAATTCAATAACAAAAAAGGAAATCGTTAAACATAGGCAACCTGGTGCACGGAAATGCTTGTTTGGTAATCGGACGATTTAGCGCTAGGGGTTTCTAGTTACTTCTAGTTACAGGGGTGGTTGATTGGTAGAGACAGGGCAGCATGGCGTAAGGTCATTCTGAATGTGCTTGTGTGAGTGTAACCACGTGGTAAGCGCTAGGTTTAAATTAGTTGGTTTGATAGTTAATAAAACGGGAGGAAGCCTTTGTTTAACGACAATCAATCGTAACTGACGTCACTCTGTTGTCCCCAACCCGCGCGGTTAATTCTTGCGGCCTTTTAATCGGAAAATGCGGATTTCCGGTCAACGCGAAACAAGTGCTGTAAATTTGTTTCATTGTCTGTAAATTCACCAATCAAGTTAGTTTTTCTTAATCGTCAGCTAGTGTTAACATAATTTAACAATCAGGATTATTTAAATAAACCACTTGCTAGATTTCATGAAATTCACTTAGTCAGGAAAACACCTTATTGTTTAATTACGAATAAGTTTCTGGATGCATATACGTAAGTGTTACATTATAACACTTCTTTATTTTTCACACAAGATTACGTTAAAGATTGATTACTTCATCGAGGCATGTCCTCCCAACGCTAGAGATTGGTAACATCAACGAGGCTTATTCCTCCCACCGCTAAAATATACATCATCGAGGTATTCCCTCACAACGATAAAAAAAATTACATCACCATTTGTTAGGGTAACCAGTTCGCGATATGCTAAACTCTCAAAGTAAATTGTTTTTTTTTTTAAGTAACCAATCACTTAAATCATGATATAATTTGACATAATGTGAACTCTTTGTTTGAATCATTGATAAAGTGTGGCAAGTATTAATCTCATGTAAATTTCTCATACAATATTTCTTTATCTCACAATTTTAACTTCAGTAATTTTCTTTATTGTATAATTTTAATTGAACGTAAAATTCATGTTCTACAGTTTTAACGTCACATAATATTTCTATTGGGGCAAGTTTATTTCTCACCAGATCTTTTGTTTTTCATAAATCTTTACTTGTTTTGTTTTGTAAATACTTTGATATCATATAAATTATTTGATGTCCAATTTTAATCTCACATAAGAATTATTTATTGTTTAAAATTTCACAAGATTGCATGGCGAATTTAAATGTTGTTAATTGCTCTTTTGAGTTAAAAGAAATTGAACATTTCTGCACAAGGGTTGCAGGCTTTGAACAGATCCAGTGGGAACGGTCTGGACGATGGGGTGTTGTCGGTTTGACTTCACCCCTAGTTTTCGACCGAAACGACCTGATTAGGACGCCATGTCCGTAATGGAGGAATGCTGTGCGGTAGGCTTGCCGATAGATAGAATCACCGTCGCGGGGGAGACTAGCTCGAACCGGTAGCCCCAAACTCCGCTTATGCTAGAACGCCCCAGGGGTACTTTTGTTGTGCTCCTGTTAACTGCCGTAACTTTAAATTTGACGCCACACGCCCGTAATAACTTGTGTATTTGCATCCAATTACTTTAATGCAGATTTTGCTTTGTTTTTTTATTAAATTTGTGACATTCAAATATTTACATCGATTCAACACAGATGTATAGGATTTTGTGGTTGTTCGTTTCTCATACGTCCGAGTCACTTTCGCTATTCGCTTCTTTCCTCCTAAGGAAGAGTGCCATTTTAACCCCTCCCAAATTTTGTCTATTATTTCTTGCGCTCTCGACTCACACACAATGTATGCTCACTTGTATGAAAGAACGTCTTCCCGCCACTTTTCAAAAAAAAAAAACACAACGTAGGTTTCCATTTGTTAGACGATCACAGCCAAGGCCAAAATTTGAATTTTTGAATTTTTCGCGTTTCTTTCAAACTTTTTTTCAAGGTCAATTAAAGACGGGAAGTTCGAGTTATCACAATCTCCTTGAAGAAAAAGACATTTTTTCATAATATTCTTAGCAATTATACAGCGTGTTATTGAAAGCTACGTACAAAATAAAATCGACAATTGGTCTCGAAGTATGAGTGCTAAAAGTAAAAAAAAGTTCAAGTAAAAGTGTCCTCCTTTTAGAGATAAAAATTATTAAAATTTATGTCCAAATTCGTTGTACGCCTCTGATAAAAAGATCATCTTTCGTTTCTATAGCAACATTTAGCCTTGACAAAAGTTTTATTGTTACAGTTGCTAGGATTTACGAAAATAAATTAATTTTACCTATTTATCCTTCAGTAGCGTCTAAAAAGGTTGGATAAGGGTTAATTTTCACCTTACAATTTTGATAACACAAAATAAGTTTTTCAGACTTCTTAGACTTCGCGAATAACTGTCAATTTTGTTGTACGTACCTTTTAATAACACCCTGTATAATAATAATAATTTTTATTGAACCAATTTTAAATAAGTAAATTAAAAACATTGGTACAAAAGGTACAGAAACAGCAAAAACTGATATTAATCTGACCTGACATTAGTATCTAACCTGACATTAGTATTAAAAAGAAGTTTCATTATTAATGAGTTAAAACAGACCTAAATTTATATTTGGTATTTCTCCATTCAGCAGTCGTTGTTTTAGCAGTTCTTCGAAGTTTGGGTAAAAATGAGGCTCTTCTCTGCGCCAATGACATTATTTATAACATACGCCACCAAGTAGGAAAATGAATTCCAACTCCTTTCTCCGCTAAATCGTTACTCTGACGATGATGAGGGCTAGACGTTGCAATAGTAAAGTGCCACTCATTTGCAAATGTATATTGTACTTTAGTAAATGGGTTTTCAATTGTATAAAATAACATAGTCCTACACATGTAGTTTACAACTCTGAATCGACTTTTCACCCGAAACGTCCAGATTTTTGGAAAAAAAATCAAAATTATAAAACAACATTTTGAAATTTAATTTTTAATCTGCTAACCAGAATGCTTTGAAATGTTGCAGATGTTTTAAGGCTATAAAGAGCATCATAAATCTTTAGTCAAAAAATATTTGCTTATCCCCTCCAAAAACTTGATGACGTCAGCTCAAAAGTTTGTGGAATAAATCATATCTAAAATGTACAAAATATGATGAGTCTGTACTTGTGATCTATCACTCCATTCATATTTTTTGGATTTGCATATACAGGGTGCCTCAAAAAAATTAATGAATGCGTAAATTTATTTTACTGATTTACTCAGAAACTACAAAACTGAATGCTTCGAAATCTTGAAGATATTTTAAAATTATCATAAGCATGGTAAATTTTTGATCAAAATGTTTTTGGTCGTCGCCCCTAAAAAATTTATGACGTCACCACAAAATTTTGCTGAATAAATCCTATCTAAAATGTACAAAATATAGTGAGTCTATTCTTGTGATTTATCATTCCATTAAAATTTTGTCGATTTGCATATACAGGGTGACTCAAAAAAATTAATGAATGCGTAAATTTATTTTATTGATTTAATCAGGAACTACAAAACCGAATGCTTTGAAATCTTGCAGATGTTTTAAGGTTATAAAGAGCATAATAAATTTTTAGTCAAAATATATTTGGTTATCTTCTACAAAAAACTGATGACGTCAGCTCAAAAGTTTGCCGAATAAATCGTATCTAAAATGTACAAAATATGATGAGTCTGTACTTGTGATTTATCATTCCATTCATATTTTTGGATTTGCATATGCAAGGTGACTCAAAAAAAATAATGAATACGTGAATTTATTTTATCGATTTAATCAGGAATTACGGGTCTAGTAATATGAAGGGCAACTGAAATACTGTCGGGCTACGTCTCGATTATAGGGGGGGACGTGCTGGATCGCCGGGTGATAGATAATCACTGAATTTAATCGGTACTAATTCCATAAATATAATTAACGATTTGTTAATCAAACGGCTAAGTAAATGAGAACGGGAATTAACAGCAGAGTGCAACGAAACAGCGTTATTCTAATCTCAAATAAACGACGTGCAGTCCGCAACCGCAATGAATTCGCATCCCGTACGAGCCGTACCGAGTTTGGCCTTGCCTAGCCCGACAGAAATCCGCTCTCTAGATATTACACACCGGCGCCGTATACGTGAGTAAATTGTTTCGTTATTTTATTGATTATAAGAAATCAATATTCAAAACGACCCAATTCATTTTCCCGAAAATTTGGGAATACAATAATTCTATTCTTAGTATTACACTACATCTATCCCAACTGATATACGTGTCCTTGCAAAAATGTTGATGACGTCATCACAATTTTTTTTTTAATTTCCACTACAAAATTGTAATGAGAAAAAAAACACAATAGGCATGCAGTCGTCAAGTTTCCGACAGCGAGGGAAGTACTGTCTAAACTCTTTAGACCAATTTTTTTCTCGAGGGGTAAACCGCAGAGGAAATCAATTGTACACGCTAGAGGAAATCAAAGGAAATCGCAGGAAATCAAAAAGGGAATCAGAGGAAATCAAAGGAAATCACAGGAAATGACAGGAAATCAAAGGAAATCAAAAGAAAATCAAGAGGAAATCAACGAAAAATCAAGAGGAAATCACTGAGAAATTAACGAGAAATCAACAAGAAAACAAAGAAAATCCAAAATCATCATAGCAAATCCAGTTAAACTAGATATTTTCTAGAACTAATAAACGTAACATGTACGACATAAGTCATAGCATTCATCATAAGAAAGAAAATATCAATTTAATCTTAAAAGCGGAGATTAAATAACCTTTTAAGGGCATAATGATAGAAAATTCCAGTATAATATCATTAACTGACAGCATGATATTTCAGCTTGAC